TAAATAGACGGACGGACAGACATACAGAAAAAGACAGACGTACGGACAGCTGGAGAGCCATACGGACCGACAGAGAGTGTGGACACATAGTCCCGACAGACAGACAGACAGACAGACAGACAGACAGACAGACAGACAGACAGACAGACAGACAGACAGACAGACAGACAGACAGACAGACAGACAGGCGGAGGTACGGGTGTACGGACGGACAGAAAGCACGGACCCATGGAGGGACAGATGCACAGGGGTACACACGAACGAAAGGTCGGAAATAGGCAGACCTACATACGCACGGATAGACTGACTGGCAGAAACAGAAATCCACGAACGGATGGACATACGGACAGACACAAAGACAGACAGAGAGACGGACGGATCGACAGACAGACAGAGTGATCCAGACAGATGGATGGACAGACAGACAAGTTTAAGGACGGAAGGGTGGATGGATGCGTGAACGGACAGTTGCACTGACCCACAGATGGACGGATGGCTGGGTGCACAGACAAACGGATGGACACTTCACTTCACTCATCGCCACTCACTCCGTAAATATGCAATGAGTTTTCTTTTCGTATTGCCAGCATTTAAATATGACTGCCGCCACAAGGATGGAATCCAGGACTCAGAACTTAGCAGTGTAGCGACAAACGTATTGTTTTGGCGAGGGGGGCAACATTTTAGGTGTGATGTTTCTTAGGTCGTGGGTCATTCCCTCCTCCATAAGTCCGTAGCCACCTCTAGTTTATTACTTCTTGAACAGATGGCGTTGTATGTATTTCTCCTTGGGAACAATACAACTAGATAGCATTAGTGGTTTTCACAGCATAACCACAGAGTGAGCATGATGAGTGCAGTCAAGCGTCCATGTGTCCGTCCTTGTATCCATACATCCATTCGCCTGTCCATTCATTCGTCCACGCATCCGTCCGTCCTCGTCTGTCCGTACCTTCTTCAGTGCTTCAAATTGTTTGTTCGGGTATATGTCCGTCTGTCCATCGTTCGTGCCTATGTTCATGCATCTGTTCGTCTGGACTCACGGACGTACGCTTGGATAGATGTACGGAGGCAGGAACAGACGGACGGAAAGAAACGCCGACGCACGTAGGACAGCTGGACGGACAGATGGATTTAAACCACGTGCGGATGCACGGAAGGACCGACGGAAATTTTTACGGGCAGACAGGGCAGAGAGAAGCACCGAAGCATGAACCGTCGAATCAAAGCCCGGATTGATGAACGCCTTGGCGTACGAACAAACTGATGGTTTCAAAGATGTATGAACAGACGGACGCACGAACAGACTTACGGATAGATGGAAGGCCTGTCGCATGGACGGAGGTCAGAATAATGGACGAATGGACGGATATACGCTTCGGCTCATTCGTCATTATTCAATCGGTGGATATATTGCGATATTTTGTTTTTGAGTGCATACAAATATATTATATTCTTTTCATAGTTTAGACAAATAATGATAAATCAAACTGCAAAACCTATTTTAGTATGCAAATATTTGATCGCACATAAGCTTTCGAGGGACCTGCATACTTTATATGTTACATGGCATTTTTAACTAAATATGTTCCATTCTGAACAAGCAGTGGCGTAACTAGATCAGACGGCGCCCGTGACAAAATATTTCCCTGCCCCTGTTGTGGTGACGAGTGTGATTATTGTAACACTATAAATATTATTATTATTATTATTATTATTATTATTATTATTATTATTAGTTTTCTACAATTTATACACCATCTTCCGCTAAAGGCAGCCATGTGTGGATGCGAAGCATGGTAGTGTGCATGCAGCGGGGTGCAGGAAGGAAGAATACCTACGGCATCAACTCTTTCGCATCAGAAACCCTCTGGCTGTTCCGGAAAAGCGAATGAGCGACCTCTTGAATTATATTCCATACCATGACATAAAGGCGTCTTACATGTCCAGACATCGTAAGACACATCACAAGCCCAAAAGGTTGGAAACAAATGCGAAAGGAAAGTGAAACAATGGTGGTCTTTTCTCTTGTTTCCACGAGATTTACAAAGTTCGTAAATTACATGTAACCACACAAAAGGGAAAGAAGAAGCCGGCCTATAAACGCGTTTCCCATTATGTTTCTCTACGTCACAAAGAAAAGTATTTTTCCGACTTATTTACAGCGTTTAATAAATCAGCCCTAAGGTATCTCCTAAGGCAATGCACGAAACACCTGAAATATTTAGAAGGGCAGCTGTTCCCTCTTGCACCATCTCCTGACACCCATGACCTTGGCAATTCAGCGAGTTAAGGCGGGTGTTTATGAAGACTTCCACTGACAAGTCTCAATACCTCCATTTCAAAATATCTCTATATTTAGTGTTTGTCTACTGAGAGCTCCTTTATTATCTCCCGTCAGGTTTGCTACAGCGCTGTTTTTAGAATGTCCTGCTGCCGGCATTTAATAAGGGAGAATTTTGTCATCCAGATGATGACTTGATGACCCAAGTTTTAAATTGCCCTCTCCAAAAAAGAGTACCATTGTGGAAATATGGATACACTCTTTTGTTCTTCACATAGTCGTTGTTATATGAGGCGCCAAGTTTTGTTGAAAAATGATTAGAAAAATAATTCAATTTATCGTAAAACCAAGGCGTAATATTATTCTTATTATGAAACACATTAGTCCAAATTGAGACCATGACCAAAAAAAAAGAAAATCCGCACGCGAAAAAAAAATGCACGAGGCACTGGCGACACTCGAACTCGCGATCTCCTGCTTACAAGACAGGCGCTTTAACCACCTAAGCCACGGTGCCACTAGCCCTTGGCTTGAAGAACACCATCTTTGGTTGTTCGAGGTATAACGCATCCAGGACGGGACCGAGAAGAAGACACAGAACACATACACGGCGCTAACTTTCACGCTAACAATGTGAGCATGCGAGGTCTTGACACCTGTCAGCAGCTAGTTGAATATTAGAGAGTGGCAGTCAAAACTTAAAAGTAGACCTTGAAGGTCAGCTTGAACTTTTCGGAACTGGCAATCCAACTTCTGATTATAATACCGGGATGCCTGTCAAAAAAAGATACGGTGCTCAGACGCAACAGATTGAGCCTCCTGGACTTTCGTCTTGCTGTCGCTTAGGCACTTTGTGCGTCAACCAAACGCAACAGAGCTAAAAAAATGAAAACGCGCTACCAAATCATTCTCTCGAGAGATCCCCTGTGGGTGCGAAGATGCCTGGCCTGGACAAACGTTTGGAGTCGTACGACCATTGGTCATCAGGTGACTGCTTGTCGTCTGCTCAATGCTGCAGGCTTCCAGTATGCATTTCTCTCACTCGGACGCGTTCTGAGAAATGCAATGTTTACACATGCCTGTCAGGTGAAAACTGGTTTTCTAGAACTGGTGGCAGCCAGTTCTAGAAAAATGCTTCAGTGCTTTCGCTGACCACGGTGATTTCACGGGTTGAGGATCGCTTCTTTCCTCGATATGCAGTTTGGCTCGAACGGCAATCTGTAGTGAAACAAGTAGCAAAATTTTGTTTAGCGTTGAGCAGCATAGTCCCCACTGCCATGTGAAAGAACAGGTGGCCAGTAGCCTGATTTTATAGCGAGGTTGTACTACAAGATGCCGAGTGATTTCCGAGTGCTGGCGAGAGGCCACACATCTCCTGGTGGCGGCCAGTTCTAGAAAGCTCCTTCAATGCTTTCTCTGGCCATGGTGATTAACCGTGTTGAGGATCGCTACTTCCGGTTGATATGCAGCTCTGGTTTCAACAGCAATTTGTATTCTGTAGTGAAACAAATAACAAACTTTAGCTGAGCGTCGAGCAGCGCAGTCACCAATGTTTGTGAAATGTCAATTGTGTCCGTGAAACGTTCATTATGGCTGTAGTACTGGTGATCCAACTTTATAAACACTACATACGTACTTCTATGACCCAGCCGTCACGTCGCGGTAATGTCATTTGTAGTTCAGCGCCAACCGCTGAACTTGATTCATGTAGTGGTGTCCAGGGCTGCCATCCTCGCGAGTTCCAGCGCTTAATGCAACTGTTGATTTGATTGATTGATATGTGGGGTTTAACGTCCCAAAACCACTATATGATTATGAGAGACGCCGTAGTGGAGGGCTCCGGAAATTTCGACCACCTGGGGTTCTTTAACGTGCACCCAAATCTGAGCACATGGGCCTACAACATTTCCGCCTCCATCGGAAATGCAGCCGCCGCAGCCGGGATTCGAACCCGCGACCTCCGGGTCAGCAGCCGAGTACCTTATCCACTAGACCACCGCGGCGGGGCGCTTAATGCAACTGTAAACAACTGGGTATATGAATCATGTGCGGCTCTTTAGCGTATGTCTGTGCGTGCATTTGTACATAATAGTAGCGCCACTTCGTAACGTTTCGCTTAACAAATAAATAAATTACAACACCGTTATCTTCCATCCACATGCTTGGCGTACCATGCATTCCTAAGATATGCGGACTCTGCCGACGTTTTTGTGCGCGTCTCGCTCCGTATAAACGCAATTCGTTAAAAACTACATGAGCGTGCCGAGCACGTGGCGTCCACTCTTTCTGTACGCGGAAGTCTCAATAATTTTCATTTGCGGCTGCGAACCCCTCCCACTTGCCGTTACTAACGGCAGTGTGACGTTTGAGACGAACTATCACTTAAACACTGTGCACTCGCCTTTGGATTGACCGTATTCGATCTTATTTTGTGCACGTTTTTGTCGCACCCTTTCCTTAAACAACTCTTGACATGAGCATTCTCCAGCAAACTTTTTATTTTTACTAAACGATGGTCGTTCAGGTAGGTAGGTTGGGTTGACCCCTTAAAGTGACGTCACATGTGCTGTACTGCGAGTTTTGCCACACCACGGAGCTGCTCGCATAGGTGTTCATCACTTGCCAGTGTTTTTTTTTCTTTTATTACATTCATATCCGCACGGTGAAGCAGATGTTTCGCCTTGCACCTGTGAGTGAAAAAGCGACAGAAGGACACGCCGGATTTGACAGAACCCTCGCTACGTGTAGCCAGACTGAGCACAGGTGTCTCGTGCGAAAGGTACGTGCGCTTTTTAAATGCGAAACATTCCCTTGTTTACTGCCGATACTTTGAACATTTCTATATATCTATCTAGCTGCCTACTTCTGGGTGCTCTTGGAATCTCCTTATCAGCTTGTGGGGGATCCAAATTATTATGGAAGGGTAAGAGGGTTTTACGAGCATGACTATCTGGTCATGCCATAATTAATGGGAAAGTCCCGTCGCGCATGGCGTCAAACTCTTTCCTCCAGACACACGTGGCATATACCCGTATACCACGGGTCACCGCATACAAGTATGTGGAACAGTTATTTGACAGTTTGTATGCAGCAATTTGCGGTGAGAACAGCTATTGTTAATTTAAATGGGAAAGCGTTAAGAAAAACTGACATCAGCGACGTTTACCTCATGAACGCAAAGAATATATGCTATTGTTTCAGCACGAATCGAACCCAAGAATACTGCGTACTAATGAAGTATTCTACCACAAAGAAACGCCAGATATCGAAATTGTTTTAGAAAAAGACCCTATGATGAGGTGATGTTGTTGAAACGTCAGTTGTAGTTGCAGTGCTGCCATCTAAGTGTATAAACATTACATATGTACTCCAATGATACAGGCCAAATTAGCCTGAATAGTAGTTAAGCGCAATCCAGGGTTACCATCCTCGCAAGCACAAGCGCTACATTTGAGCTAATCGCTTCTAGTGTAGAAAATATCCATGGGGCTGTTGACGTTCGTTCACCAAATGTAAACACTTGGTTATTTAAAAAATGTGTGACTGCTCAACATACACGTCTGTGTGTATAACGTTTGTACATATGTATAGCATACTTTCCTAACGTTTCGCTCAACAAAAAAGTTACACCACATTGCTCTTCCCTCCACATGCTTCGCATGACATTGATTTTCGTGGTACGTAGGATCTGCCGAGTTTTCGCTATATGCTTGCCCCAGCAGCACGCGACTCACTTGAGTGAAGGCAAGTATACACATGTAAATGTCTAGTCGATGCTGAAGGGAAAGTCTTTTGACGCACGCTTGAGCGAGTTACAATCGCAATGCGCACCAGTTGTGGTATTAGCTTACAGTTTTCTGCTGTTGAGGTGGATGACATGGGTTCACTTCCCGACAACGGCGGCCGCATTTCGATGGGGGCGAAATGGAAACACTTCCGCGTGCTTAGTTGCAGGCACGCGTTAGAGAGAATGACCGGTGGACAAAATTATTCCGTAGACACCCCCTTGGCGTGCCTGATGATCGTGCAATGGTACTGGCTCGTAAAACCCCAGATACTATTCATCGCTGAGCACATGCGAATCCCGGGGACCTGTTCCTTGCACAAACAAAAAAGATGAACATTTTCCTCCATTGTGAATGCGTGACAACTGAAACAATAAGACATACGTCAGCTCAAGGTTACAAGTACGAATTACCTTACGCACAGAAATTATTTAAAATCCTCCCCAATCTTGTTTCTGTACCCGCAGCTGATATGACCGACAGGCATCTCCTCATAAGGTATTTAACTGCCGCTCTTTCACATGTGATCTTGTATGCGCAGCTTTGCTTAATTATGTAGCTCCACTGATTCGCGGCCACAAGTGTCACCTTGCTTGACCTGTGCCTTCTCCTGTTATAGATCATCAAATCCTGCCCCGTGCAGTTTGCTCGTTGCCGCCAGGAATCAGCCGATCAACGAAAGCTACGCGAAACCGCCATCTCATCCAGCCCGTTCTGAGCACCGGAAAAGGCTGCGACGCACCCCGTGACGTCACATGGTTGCAGCGCCACCACAAGCCTTATTAACGCCGGACAGTCGGTTTCCATCTGGGATTCGCGGCCACGAGTGTCACCTTGCTTGACCTGTGCCTTCTCCTGTTATAGGTAGGCTGTTTATCTGGTTAGCCTTTTTGCTAATAACCTCTGTGGCTGTGGATCCCCGCAATTTGTGTAACGATGGGTGTTGACCTGTGTACTTATCGCGCCCGAATCGGCACGTTCTCTGCTTGTAGTGCACCTAAAATCTTCCGCCATGTTCAGTCTCAGCTGAAACTAACCGCAATCAGCGCGCTATGCCCCAAGCCGTCTCTGCTTTTGGCGTTAACGTGTCTTACCTTGCTTTTACTCTGCGCGAGGGACGTGGAAGCTAACCCAGGCCCCAGGAATGAGGATGTGGTCACCCTCATAAAAGATTGTCACGACGAGACAACAAAAAGCTTGAACGATATCAAACAGCACTTGACTGCCTTGAAGACTCGTGTCACGGCCATTGAAAAAACTTTGAACAGCGTGGCGAAGTTCAAAGACAACTTTGACGCTGTCGCTGAATCTGTGAATGAAGTCAAGTCGAGACAAGTGGACAGCTAGTTGAAGTAGTTGACGATATGAATAACAGAATGAGGAGGAACAACCTTATCATCAAAGGCCTTCCTGAGGGTGATCACGAAGGATACACAGAGACAGATCAAATTGTCGGGGATTTATTCACTGACCACCTTAAGATTACAGCTGGAGATATCGAAAGGGCACACCGCTTTGGCCAACGTCGTCCCGGCTTTCACCGTCCAATTATTGTTAAGTTTCTTAACTTTAAATCTAAAATAGATGCCCTGCGCAACTCGTACAAGCTTAAAAACCTGGAGACACCAAAAGTTTGGCTTGAAGAAGATTTCTCGCCGAGTGTTCAATTCGCAAGAAAAAAACTTCGGGACTTCGCCAAGAGCAACCGCACTGACAACGCCCGCTTTTCAGTGCGTTTTAACAAACTTCACCTACAAGGCAAGGTTTACCAGTTTGACCCCGCCAGTGGCTCGGTGGTTCAGGCGTCCTCAGACCCCGAACGATCTGCTAAGTGATGTTTAGCGTCACAAAATCAGCGCCCTTCACCCATTGACTCATTTTCGATGCTTTTGGCTAACCTCCGTAGCCTATACCATAAGACTGACATCTTAAAAGCCATCATGCACACGTGCTCTGCAGAAATCATCGGTACCGAAACGTGGCTGTCTGAGGACGTCACAAGCAGCGAACTTTCGTTACCATCGTCACTCGTCATCTTCCGCAAAGATAGAACCGGCTCCCGAGGTGGTGGTGTGGTTGTTGCGATAAACGAATTATACCACCCCTCTCCAATTTCAGTGGACTCACCTCTCGAAATAGTCTGGGCATCATGTCACATTGGTCATGTTTCTTGCGTCATTGGCGCTTGTTATCGACCCCCCGACAGCAATTCAGAGTTTCTAGAACTTCTTGGTGATGCCATTGAACAAGTTACACAGAAATTTCCTAATTCGCTTTTATTCTTAGGTGGTGACTTTAATTATCCAGAAATAGATTGGTCCACCCTGTCTGCCCTTCATGACAATAATCAATCTGAATGTATTCCATTTCTTCAGCTGCTCCTTTATCACAATTTAACACAACTTGTACATAAACCTACGCGGAAGGATCGGGTTTTAGACTTGGTCCTAACTAACAGCCCCGAAATCTGTAGCACACGCGTGCTAGAAAAAATCAGTGATCACAGGGTTGTCCATAGCTTGGTTTCACTTCCTACTGCAAGGAAATCAAAAATAAAAAAAAACAGTTGCTGAACTATGGGCGTACCGACATAACAAAAATGAACAGTATGCTACACACTTTCGCAGCGGAATTTTACGAATACTTTGACGACCGTACAACTAATGAAAACTGGTGTTTGTTCCGGGATAAACTTAAAGAAATTGAAGCTACCTGTGTTCCTAAACTAACAATAGCTTCTAGATCAGACGATCCATGGTTCACGCGAGACGTAAAACGCGCCCTGGACAAAAAGAAAAGGGTTTACAGAAAAGCAAGTCGCTCGAACTGTCCCCAAGATTGGGAAGCTTACGAAAACATTTCAGCTGAAACACACAGCATCATTTTTCAAGCGAAAGATAAATTCTTTAACGAAACGCTACCTAACCTCATGAAAACGGACCCTAAAAAATTTTGGGATATCGTGAACCCCAAAAGCACCCACTCAACAGCAATATTAATGAGGGAAGACGGCAGCACCTTATCGGTAGAACACTCCGCTGAAAAATTCAACAAACACTTCACCACGGTATTCACTGACGAACTTCCACTGAATGATTCTCTTTCACTGTCACAACTGCCCATTGAATACCCTTTTCCAGCAATCCTAATAACAGAGCACGGTGTAGCTAGCGTTATCAGTCGACTTCCCCTTAAAACCAGTCCCGGCCCCGATGGCATCAGCGCCAAACTACTTAAATTAACCTGTCAACATTCAGCTAAGTTGCTTGCATTCATTTTCCAGCAATCCCTTGACTCTGGTTGTATACCAGATGACTGGAAATTGGCTAATGTGGTACCCATCTTTAAGTCTGCTAACAGCAATCACCCTAACAACTATAGGCCGATTTCACTCACGTCCATTTCGTGTAAGTTACTAGAGCACATCATACACTCCCAGGTCATGCGTCACCTCAACCGTAACAATTTACTTCTTCAAACCCAACATGGTTTTCGAGAAAAATTATCATGTCAGACTCAACTTTTCGAACTCGTGACAGACCTGCACACAGCTATTCATATGTCCATCTGCATCGACGCGCTTTTCATAGACTTTTCTAAGGCTTTTGATCGTGTTCCCCATAACCGGCTAATGTTAAAAATACGTCACCTCAGCCTCGACCAGAAAACGACTGCATGGATACAAGAATTTCTAAACAACAGGTCTCAGTCAGTGAAACTTAACAACTACATATCTCATCCTACCCGAGTAACATCTGGTGTGCCACAAGGCAGTGTGCTGGGTCCTCTTCTCTTTTTAGTATACATTAATGACATTGCATCTAACATAAGTTCATCAATTCGTCTTTTCGCGGACGATTGCGTTGTTTATAGGAAAATAACTTGCACAGATGGCGTTGCAGAACTACAACAGGATCTTACCAGGTTAGGGGAATGGTGCAGCAAATTGCAAATGGAAAATAATGTCAAAAAAACCAAGCACTTAATGTTTACT